GTGGGTGGTCTCTCTTTTGGCTCCCTTCTCTGCAAGGAGCCATGTCCTTGGCAGCTGCACGGGAAGGTCCACATTCACGAAACAGGAGCCTCCTGTCATCAGCAGCGTGAGTGAGTGTGGACATGGACCTCCAGCCTGTGTCATTTCAAAGACTGCACAACAGGCCATAGCCTGGCTGCCACTCCTGAGAACCCTGAGCTGGAGCTACCAGTTCAGTTTCCCCCAGATTCGCAAGCCCCAGGACCTGTGAGGTGGTATTGAAGCAGCTAAGTTTGGAGTGGTCTGTTATATACAGCAAGAGCTAAAAAAAATTAACTGATAGGTTTTTTTCAGGTGCAAGGTGCAGCAGAGAAACAAGCAGAAGGAAAAGGGAAAGGGGCTTTATTGTCTTTGAGGACATGCAGAGAGTGTGGGGAAGGACGAGGAATTCTCTCCATTGGAACAAAGGGAGGCTGAGGCTTTCATGGCCCTTTGTCAGGGGTGGAGTTTGGAGGGGATGTTTAGCTATACCTGAGGGAGCTGATTGGGGTCTTCCCTGAGGCAGTCAGAAAGGTGGAAGTAAATCATACTTTGGGCTAAGTTGGAGTAGAAAGGGGAGGTGGTCTTGGGAAGATGGCCATTTATTTTAAGGGCATCAGCCATATTAAATGACCACCATAATGATTTTAGCATTACATACTAGGGCCAGAACCTATCCTTAACCACCTCCAAAGGCAAGGCCACTGCGTAAGAGCTGATTTATTCAGCTAATTCCCATTGACTGGGGAAACCGAGGCATAGCAGGCCCTTGGCACAGGTGAGGGATGCTGAAGGCAGCGCGGATATGGTGTTGGCATTCAGAGGTTCCCACTTACTCAAGACCATGACTCTCTCACCCCGAAAGCCAGCCCCAAAGCAGGTACGGATTCAGGGCAGAGGGCAGAATTTAAGGATGTGAGAGGGGCTGAAGCTCAACAAAGGTGACCTCTTAGGGTAGATGACACTGACCAGGTCGGTGTTCAGAAGAAAGGGAAGAAGATGCCCATGAGCCAGCAGGAGTGATGTGCATCCAGAGAGCGGGGGTGGGGGGGTACTGGAGTAGTGGGTGGTGGAGAGAGGGCCAGGAGAAGGGGCTGTCTGGAGCAAGGGCCAGGTGGTCAAGGGCCTGGAATGCCAGGCTGAGTAGATTATGGGTGTGGTCTCCAGGCCATCCTAGGAAATGGGCTGAGAGAAAGAGTACAGGAACTGTTTGTGGCTAGACAGGAAGACCTGACCAGAGGCAGGGACGTAGTGTTTTCCCACAGTGACCTCTCAGAGTGCTGAGCACTTATGACAGAGGAGAAGGAGGCCTGCGGAAGTCAGAGAGAAACCTGTCACCCAGGGGCCTTAAAGAAGGCTCCCTTGAGTAAATGAATCAGTATTGACTGAAGATGAGGAGTCACCCAGGCAAAGGGAGGTAGCATGGGGGAAAATAGCATGCCAGGGCTAGGGAAAAGATGGGCCAAAGCCCAGAGCTGAAAGAGAATGGAGCTGATATGAGGAACTGCAAAGGGTCTCTATGACGAGGCAGTGGGGTAAGGGAGGAAGAGAGACAAAGATGGAAGAAATGGGCCTGATGGTGGGGAGTGTAAATGGTAGGCTAACAGCTTGGGCTTTTGTGTGTGTGTGTGTGTGTGTGTGTGTGTGTGTGTGTGTAACTGGGGATTGAACTCAGGCCCTTGCACTTGCCAGGGAAGTACTTAATCCACTGAGCCATCTCCCCGGCCCTCACAGACCTCATTTCTTCAGGCAATGTGGACTGCACAGGGTAGGGAATGCACGTTCCCAGCTTCCTCCCATAGGGTCGCCTGAAGGTGCCTAAGCTGTGGGCCAAGGACAACTCCAGGCAAGATTCTGTTTTCACTCAGGTGCCTGCTGCTTCCACTTGGCCTTCTGTACCCAGGGCAGGACAGCACTGGGGCCGTAGTCCTGGTTTACGGCAGCATTTTTAGTGACTTCCTGTACCCTGAACACATCTCAGCACGCCCCCTCACATTATCCTGTGGATGCTGCTGCAATTGGGACTCATACAAACCCTACCCTAGGAGCAGGAGGAGGAAATGGAGAGATGCATTCTGTGCGGCTCACCATGGCTACACTTAGGGATGGAGAGGTGTATTAGTCGGCTCTGCCATCACTGAAACACAATACCCAATACTCAGGGTTTTGTTTTTTTTAAATGTGTTTGGTGCAGAGTCTCACTATGCAGCTCAGACTCATAGTGATCCTCCTGTTTTCAGCCTCCTCAGTGCTGGGATTACAGGTATGTATCACCACACCTGGCCTCAGTGACTGGATCAGCATGTCTGAGGGCAAGATGGGCGCAGCATATGCTGGGGATTAAGCCCTGGTCCCTGCGCTTGCCTAAGCAGGCGCTTAATCTGCTGAGTTACCTTGCCAGCCCAAACACCCACAGTTTAAGGGAACAGAGGTTTAATGTGCTTGTGGCTTCAGTCTGTGGTCAGCTGGCCCCAAAAGCAGACAGTGCGGATGGAGGGCATGGTGGAGCAGAGCTGTTTAGGTCATGTTGGCCAGGAACCAGAGTAGGGGAAGTATCAGAGCAGGAGGAGGAAGGGATCAGACATAGTCCCCAAGGCCATGCCCCCAAGGCCTACCTGGGACATACAGAAGTGCTCTACCAATTCCCCAGTGCGTCCCAAAACCCATCAACTTGAAACTCTTAAATGCTTCATCCAAAGACAGAGACCTGCAGACACATCAGAGACAGGAGGCAGAGCTTGGGCCCTTGGGTTACATGGGCTTTCCCATAGCCAGATAGGGAATTCTAGAGTATGTGTCTGTGTTGCCCAGGTTTTCAGTTTTAAATTGTTAATGTTGTTTGTAAAGGATCCACCAGAACACTCCAAGCAGTCTCACCATTTTGTAAGAGGACATTGGTGCTCCATGTTGGTGCTCCCCTGATTCACAGGGCGAGTTTATTCCCCAACCCTGGCCTTATGACTCATTTTGACCCACAGACCAAGGCAGAAGTGATGCCGCATGAGCCGTGTCACTGAGGACCTGAGTCCTTGCAGGCTTGGCTCTCATTCTGTGGGAATCCATCCATCCACTGGCTGGATGCTTCTGAAAGGCCAGTCAGGATAGAGAGAGACCCAGTGCCCCCATAAGCAGAGAGGGCAGGATCCTGTGTCCTCTCTAGAGGTCCCAGCCCTCACTGACCCATGGCCAAATGCAGCTGCTCGAGCAAGACCTGAGAAGATGCCTTCCCCTCAGGGAAGACTCAGAACAGTAAGAAGCAAGGAGCTCCCCTGTCTTTAGCCAGTGAGCATGGAAGAGGTGACGACATAGCAGTGGATGAACTACCAGGGGCCACTACTCACTTCCTTTGCCACCTTTGCCCTTCCTTCAAGGCCCTGCCCATGGCCACTTCCTCTAAACTTCCCCTGGGCAGAAAGTCATTGCTCTCATCTTAGAAATCTACTGTTCTTTCTTCCTGTTCCTCTTGAGACCTGTAGCACGCACTGCCCAATAACACAACACCAGGTACCTCCATGCGACACTGGACACACTCAACTCCTAATTTACATACATTGTGCACAGATGACATGAAGTGACTCAGGAACTGCTCATTATGCTTTAGGAGAGCACATGACAAGGCTGAGGTGGACACAATGTGACTTGCTTAGGGGCACTGAAAACAAGTGAGGGTAGGATTGGAATCCAAAACTAATACACTTCTCCCAATGCCCCTCTCCTGTGTTGCAGGTATTGACATGAACTGCACACCCCTAAGGAGCATTAATGGTCTCTATCTAGATCTCCTCAAGAGCCTCATGCATTGATAGGTGGAACTTTTGAAGGTGATTATGGGTCTTATGGCTGATTTGCTCCTAGGAGGACATTACGGGGTTTGCTTGGAAGCAGTGGATCACTGGGGGTGAGGCCAGGAAGGGCTTATTTCCCTTCTTAGCTCTTCCTTCGACTCTGTGCTTCGCATTCACCAAGCCATGAGCAGGCTCCCTGCATCGTGCTGCGCCATCCTGCCTGTCTTGGAGCTAGCTGACTATGGACTGAAACCTTTACAAACTATGAGCCCTAAGTTGTGAGTATCAGGTATTTTGTCCCAGCAATGAAAAAGGTGGCCAAGAGCAAAGGAGGATGAGTTAAGCAGCCTGCCTGCTCCTTCACTAATCACATGTGCCCTAACTCAGGACTCCAGAGGTCTTCTAGCCACACCCCTCGTACACACCTCACACCCACTTCTTCTCTGTGCTAGCCTCCCTACAGCCCAATTTGGGGGTGACAGATGAAGGAGAAAGACATCAGCATGACTATCGAGCCAATCTGATCCAGACTTGGGGGAGGCAAGTCAGGGTCACAGTGCCAGGTTGGAGGTCAGAGCTCAGGCTCCTGCCAGCCACCTGTTGGGGTGGATAAGAAGGAAGGGAACTAAAAACGAATCCTTTCATTCACTGAAGCAGCACTTACACAGCCTCCCGGGTGGGTCTGGGTGTGAAGTTGTCAAAGGCAAGCAAAAGGTGCCCTCGTGGAGCTCTCAAGCTTGTGTGATGTCTGCACTGAGACTCTCAGCTCATCTCAGTCAGCTGGGTAAACTGAGGTGAGGGAGAAGGAGGTCTGATCAGCCATCGCCCCTTCATAGCTCAGAGGACCCAGAAACGCACAGGTGTGCAGGGTTCAGGCAGGGTTTACCGGCCGCCCTCTCACTTTCAAGTCTGGTGATGAGGGACATGCAGAGAGCAGAATGAGGGGGCACAAAGGGGAAAGGACTGGCCTGTGACTTCTTTTGTGCTGTCACTCAAGGATAGAAGAAAAATGTCATTGCTCTCTTTCTCTCCTTGCTTGCTTTTATAACCTTGGAGTGATGTTACCACAAAGGACAGAAGCCTCACCAGTCACCCTCTTCCAGCCCTTGCCCACATCTCCCAGCGGGAGACTAGCAGAGTCTCCTTTTGTGGCAAGAGTGCAAACCAGAGCTGGCAAAGTCTGGGCTCCTCCTCCACACTGATGCTTGTGGTTGGATTGGCAGGAGTCTGGGCTCCTCCTCCTGGGTCCTGAATGCTGGCCCTGCCGTGTGGGGGAGCCCTTCCCCTGGCTCAGCGGAAGCACTCATTGGAACTCCAAGTGTTGGTCAGCAGGAATGTTGAACTTGAGTTTATGGGCCTCAAAGAGGTTGCACAGCTCCCTGATGTAGTGCTGGTGTAGCTGGTTCACTTCCTCCTCTGAAGGATGCAGGGTCTTCTGCACCTTGATGGGCTTCCCCACTGCAAGACACAGAGGTGGACAGGGGTGGGAACCACAGGAGTCCTTAGAGCAGACCACCGTGCAGGAAAGTGCTCTTCCTACCACCCCTTCTAACCCTAATTTCAGGTGATAGCTTCTGAGGTGTTAGGGCAACTCTAGTTTCTTATACGATATATCAGCCACCAGCTTTCAGTGTGTCAGGTTTTGTGTGCTAGGTGCTTAATGCCTGTTCTCTCTTAAAATCCTACAGGAACAAAACCTGTCACTATTCCTACTTGACCAGTGAGGCATTGGGGGTCAGAGAAGATAAGCGACTTGTTTCAGGTCACATAACCAGGAAGAAGATACAGCAGGTTTTGTTTTTTATTTATTTATTTTTAATTTTTGGACTCTTTATTATAATTTTCTCTTTTACTTTTTTTAATATTTTTTTCATTTTTGTGTTTTGTACAGGGCCTGCAGGGTCTCATTATACAGCTCTGACTCATAGTGATCCTCTTGTTTTCAGCCTCCCCAATGTTGGAATTACAGGCGCGTACCACCACTCCCAGACTCGGTCGCTGGCTCAGTACTTCCTGGGGACAGGGCAGGTATAGCATGGGGATCGAACCCTGGTCCCTAAGCTTGCCAAATCAGGCACTTAGTCTGCTGAGCTATTATGTGGGCCCTGATAATTATAATACTCTAAAGAAA